TAGCACCATGTCTGAACAAACCTGTCTCCTGCCTTTGCTGTCTCTACAGCTGGAGAAATCCTGAAGGAAGCAACAGGATCCTGATTTGGTAGTGGCATCATCTATTCTGGGCCCTCAAGATTTTAGGTTCTTTGGGTTGGGAGGGTGGCAGTTCAGGATTTTTCAAAGTTCTCTTATTTTTGCTGGGATTTCGACATGTCCAAGGATATCTCCTTATTTATTGGGATTTCGGGATACTGCGAAACCAAAGCCTTTCCATCACGAGCTTTTCCTTACACTGATACAAGTAGTTTAAAAAGCCAGCTCAAACAAAACAAGGTGTATTTCTTTTACTCCTTCCTTTGGTCAGGATAAGCTCCTATTTCTGTAGGAAAATAGGAAGGTTCTCAATTCAAGTTTCTGGAGTTGGTTTCTGAGAGAAGGGGCTTAGTGGAGGAAGAAAAGATCAATAGTATTTTAACAACATGCTGTTTAGAGAATTTTTGATCTGATTGGTTTCTGAATTAGAGAAGCTTTATATCAGAGGGTAGAGGCCCATTCGATCTTCCTCAGCAGGCCTTACCAGCCCCTCCGAGTGCAAGCTTTCTAGTCAGTCTGAGAAACACAGCCCATAGAGAAAACCCGGCCTTGCCCGCCGCTTCAGCATTGGGGTGGAGGGTGGGCAGAACGTACCAAAGGTGCCTGGGTGATACATGTGATAGCTTCCAGAATGGTACTGATCATCCCTGGGCTGGGATTCCAGTCAGACTGGGGAAAAGTTGCCGATCTCTGCTCTGGACCCCCGTCCTCAAGCTGATACACATTATACCACCAGCAGGCCCCTTCCCCGCTAGCTGCTGCTACTCAGGGGCAGTCACTGCAGACACGACGAGAACTCAGCTCCCTTCGGGTTCAGTGTCGTGCAGTTAACTAAGGAGTCTCATTTGCACAGAAGACTGGCTTATCCGTGACGGTGGCACCGCAGCTGGGCCACTGGTCTCTGTGGTTTAGTATCGTGGAGCCTCACAAAACACAGTCTCTTGTTAATGATGCCTGTAACAGTGTGTCCTCTGTTTTGCATTTTTATTTTTTAATGTGTACTTTGAGGGGAAGGAACCAGCTCCTGTCATATTTGTTTTCTCCCTTGTATGAAAAATAGTCTATGAAAAATATTGATAGTCCTCTTAGAGGGATGCATTTCTTATTTGTTGACAGTTTAGAAGAAGAAATAGTTTGGGTCAGATGACCTTCTTTTACCTTTCTCTGTCTCTCTCACACATACTTGGCATCTTTCTAATCACTCCTGTCCTTGGTCACTCCCTGTTGCCTTAGCCAAGTTTGGACTCTTGAATATTTGAAAGGACCAGAGGGTGGCAGAGTGGAGCTACTTACTGTGGCTGCTCTTGAAAGGAATCTAGGTAAGTCGTAAACTAAGGTGAGAAAGTATTGGTATTATTATCTGTCTGCGTAGTTGATATTTCTTAAATCTGACTCCTAGGGTTAGTTGTGGTGTTGGAGATGGATGAACTCACTATCTGCTCTCTCCCAGTAGCCTTCATGAAAAAACACTGGCCTGGCCATGGAGAGAGTTTGAAAACCAGTAAACCACTCATCACACCTCTGTCAGGTCCCCCCGCCAAAACATCTGGCATACGTGGCCCCCACGTGTGATAGGCTCTGTGCACAGACTAGAAAGGAAATGAAAGCATCATCCTGTCTGTTGGAGCACCTAAAAAATGCTTTTGACTTAAATTGTCTAGTTTGATTTTTTTATAATGATAAAATCCATGTAATTCATGGCTAACTCCTTTCTACATTGTACAGTAATGATAATGCCTTCTGTTTGAGAATGCTCCATTTCTAATTCATGATGGTATTTTTGACTTTATCATGACGTTCCTTATCATGACTGCTCATCTTTGAGAAAGTAGAGCAAAAATAAGAACAAATCTGCAAAGATTCCAGAGAAGAAAGACTGCTGACAAGGATTGTGTGGGTCCATGTACATGTGCATATATATATGTGCACGGCTCATATATATGAGGGTTCAGAAAGCAAAGTGACATTCAATTTCTGTGTGAACCTCCTGTGTTCAAGCACAGGGGATAGTTAGAGCTGGAAGCCATTAGAGATCTGTACCACTCTCTTCATTGTGTTTGTAGAGGAACTAGAGCAAAATCATTTACCAAAGTTTTCCCAACACATTAGTGGTAGGACTAAAACTCGGATTCTTTTCTGCTATAATGTATTCACTCACGTTTATTTTCTATGAGGAATACCAAGTCTGGAATAATTGGAGTAAAGATATCAGTGACCTTCTCCCTCTCTGTGTCTCAAAAAGATGATTCTATTATCTGTCAGATACTGTTGACTAGACCTGGCAGCTCCCAGTGGGCCCACAAGTTGAATATGGTGGCAGAAGTTCAAGGACCCAGCAGAGGTTGGGCAAACGGCCCAGTGATTTCTCTGTTTCGGAGCGAGTCCAGACACCTCATACAAGGAGCCTCGTTTGAAATCTGCAGATACTGCTGTTTGAGTGGAGACAGAATGTGCTGGAACAATTGGTACTGCCTTTAGTCCCTGACAGAGGCCTAACGCCTCTGCTGCCTGATCACCTAGACTTCAGACATTCTGAATTTCGTCCAGTAATGAGTAAACTAGAGAAAAGGGCTTCTTTAATTTTTTTTTTTTTTATTAAAAAACAATTTTCCCCTTAAAGTGAATAAAGTGCCAGTGAAAGGGGCAAATCGCTTCTCCAGTGACTCAGGCACCACTGCAGGAGTAAGGACGTCCTCCCTTAAATAAAGTGAATGTCGTGCTAATGGCAATTCAGAGACCGATACTCTAGTCTTGAACTGGCGGTACTTGTTTAGATCTGTTTCGCTTCCTCCCTTAGACACAGTTTGTGCTGGGGAAAAGGATAAAAGGATAGTCGTGGATGAGAGACTCCACTTGGGATTCTGGGTTCGATCCCGCATCATCCAAGGCTAGAATACAACTTAATTTTCTGGTCTACACAGGCCAAGAGAAGGGAAGGCAATGACTTACTAACCTTGACCCTGGATGTAAACAGTTTTTTCATTCAAGCCTCAAAGCCAAATGCTTTTTTTGGCTGCACAGTGCATTTTCTTTACCCAAATCACTCTAGGTCCTTGTCTTGGTTTGGTGTTTTGGGCCTCTAGAGGTATTAGCTATTGTGCCACAGGGAATGGGAGAAATGTCCCTTGGGGAAGGCTCTAGGGAAGAGTTAGGCTCCTATTGTCTCCCTTCTCCCCTCCCCCATGCTGGGGGTACTCTAACACCGTGAAACCCAGGCTTCAGGACAAACCAACTGTCCGCTGTGTCCCACCATCTTATCACTACTTAGCTCCAATGCCAAGACGCTGGAGTGGAAAGGAAGAGATGTAACCCAGTATACTGATCACAGGCCATGGCAGGGAGCACGCCCCAGACGGCGGTGCCGTGATTCAGGCATTATGCTGTTGGCAGAGAGGACCGAGGCTACTGGAGACTACTCCTGTCTGTAGCGGTCCCCGTTGCAGACCCTCCCTCCATCAGTGAACATCCGTGTCCTTCAGCAGGATCTCCCACCCCTCACCATTTATTTCCTAGTCCTTCTCCTTTTTTCTGGAGTGCCCTAGCTAACCTGGGATAGTTCTGGCATATCAGAGTTGGAAGGAAAGAAATATTTGTCTAACTTCCCTAACTGTTAAAGCTAAGCAAAGCACCAAAAAGGAAAACAAAAAAAGACTTATAAAAATATCATGGGGTCATCCCCCCATGCTTTCCACATTATCTGTGGCATATGAAATGTCAAAATATAATGAACAGACTTTCTGAACATCACTATCTCCTTCCACCTATATGTATCTGATCTGCAGCAGCCTCATTACTACCCTTTTACCTCTTAGAACTTCCTCTGTAGAACCACTATATAATAAATCTACTTCAGCCCACTGACCCCACCTTCCCAAATATATACCTACTTGCAATTCCAAAGACACTCTCCAAAAAAATAGACATTTGAAAAAAGTGCATCTGTTTATACTCAGTCTATCTGCATAACTTCTTGAGATTATTACTTTTTTTTTTAAACCATAAAAAAGATTGCATATTGGCAATATAATGGGAAAACCATGGCGGCCATTTCTGGGTGGCAGTGGAAGGTAAGTGGGGTGGTGTTGAAGCACAGAAGCGAGAGGGCTTGGAGAGGGGCCGGTGTGGTCCTTAGCCTTGAGACCTGAGGATTGAGGTGGAGTTGTCTTGATTATCAATCCTTGGGCCTCTGAGATGTCCCATCTCCTTAGTCACTCCCTCTCTTCTCTCCACCTTTCCCCATTTCCACCACCCATGACCAGGCTGCATTACCCTCTTGAAGCAGAGGTGGGATGGCTTTTTGGCATGTGTCCTCCCGGGCCCGTTTGAAGACAGGCATGGCATTTGGAGGGCTGTGATATGGGACACACACCAGAGCAAGCTTATTTGTGACTGTTTCCACTCTGGGAAAAATTGTCCATCACTTCTGTGACTTTAAAAATTTAAGCAGTTACTAGGCTGATAGGTTTAGAAACAAATCTTTTGTTCTTGTGGTTTTTGCATTAATATTAAGCATGAATATATATCATATATTACATTGCTTTCCTTCTGCTCTGGGGCAGACTGCACTCCTTCCAAATAGGAAAACTGCCCAGCCCATGGATTCAAATTTTTGAAAGCTGTTATTCCCCAACTCCCAACCCCCCCGCCCCTAGCCCTCCCCTTCCTCCCGATCCCTCAGCTCCTATATTAGAAAAGCCCCTCCCTCCCCCCCCAGCAGCCCACCCGTGGTTAAATAGATAGTGCCACATTCTAAGATTCATGCATCACTGCATTTTGCTATTGCACGGAGAGCAGAGAGAGAGGGAGTTGTGTATGTGTGCCCCCGCCCTCTCTTCTCCTCCTCTTCCCTAGGCTCTCAGATTCCTGTGCTGTTCCCACTCTGCCCTCTCCCAGCCTCCCCCCGCCCCTCCATCCCAGACCCGTCACTGGTTGTGGACATCCTCCCTGCGGACAATCTTGTAGATGATCCAGTAGAACATGTTGAAGATGAGGAAGGCCATGGGGAAGCCAATGCGGGATATTTTGTCAATCTTCTTGGCCCTCTGGATGAAGAGTTTTCGCATCTCCTCTGGGGACTTAGATGGTGCCGGAGGAGGGTTGGTGGTGGTGTTGTTGTTGGCGCCTTTAACAGAGATGCCATCTTTGCCCTGCAGACAGGCTGGGCCCATCCCGTAGGCAGAGAAGTTGAAGCGGCCCTCTCCGGCCTCATCCTCCTGGAACAGATTCATCATGGGGCTCTACTTAAAATAAGACAGGGGCTGGGCACCCTCCCTGCAAGGCACTCCCCTGGGGGCCAGGCCAGGCCCATCTGGTTCTCTCTGCCTCCCTGCTGCTACCATTCCAGGTTTCTGAAGGCTCTTAGGCTGGCTGGGGAGTGATGCCTTATAGAGGGGCGCCACTTGCACGTGGACACAGATGCAAACCAGGGGATAGGAGTGGGGCCGAGAGTCTGCAGACCTGTGTTTAAGTTCGGCTCCGTCACTTCCTGGCCTTGTGGCCTTAGGTAAGTCCCTTCTCTATTTGAGTCTCAGGGTTTTTTTTACTTCATATTTTCCTATAAGTGGGGAAAGATTCACCCCACTACATCAAGACGTTCTTCTGACCATCAGAGGTTATAGATGAGCAGACGTTCTGAATGCTGTTTTGTTAGAAACCAAGGGGACAATTTGGAGAGATCCCCTGCTTTGCCTCTGTTGCCTCCTTGCCCTCTTCCCCCACCCCATTCCCCAGTGGGTGTGTTCTCGGGCATGGGTTGGGGGTGGTGGCGAATGGCCCCGGAGAGAGCAAACGCTGTGGGCCTCAGCTCTGTTTCACACGCTGCAGGGAAGCTAAAGCTGCTTTCTCTCTCCACGTTCCCACAGCCCTGGCACTTGTAACTTCAGACATAGCTCATTCAAAGCCCTTTATCATATGGCTCCAACTTACCTTGACAGGCTTCTGCCCTTCCCCTTACCTTATGCTTGGCATACCTGCCAGTCAGTTGCACTTTGCCAGTCACCGCTTGTGCATTTCTCTGTCCCTCCCTTATGCTCACCACCAACAGGCCTGCTGCCTGTATTCTTCTAATTTCTAATTCCTAATTTCTAATTCCTTTCCCAGTTCTTGGTGATCTCCTGATCTGACTCGTGGAGACACCATTGTCCGCTCTCATCACGTCTAGCTTTGTGATCTTCCCATGTGAGCCCTGCGGTGGCACCGAGGGGCTCCGCTGACTGTGGATGCATGTGTGGCTCTGGGGAATTTGGAGCAGCTCACATTGTCCTCCCACCTGTCTCCCGCCTGTTCCTGTGTCGGGCAGGGCTGACTGAGAACAGGCGATACTGTGTAGGAGCCCCTTGCTAGCTCTGCTCCTGTCACCCTTGCTTAGGTTACCCCATGGCCTTATGGTGACAACTTCCAGCCCAGTCTTCCTACTGTCTCCGGGCCGGCCCCCTCGACCCAGCTGAGTTATCACAACACACATCCTATGGGTCATTTTTTGCTTGGACTCTTTCACGGGCTGCCGCTGGCTTCAGGATAATTAACATCCTTACGTGGTGAACGAGGCCCTAGATGACCAGAACTCTGCCTGCCTCTCCAGTCTCAGCTGTGCCATTCTCTCTCTGGCATTGTATGCACCAGGCGCCCCCAAATATTTACATATATTCAGAAGTGTCATGCTCCTTCTGTTTTAACTGCAGGCTCTGCTCAAATTGTTCTCTCTTCCTGGATATACTCCGAACCTCTGCTTCCAGCGCCTTCTCTTTCACTGAACTAACGTCTGATTCAGAAGCCGTCCCTGAGGGTCAGGGTAGACAAGGTGCCCCTGCTGTGTGCTTCATGAGCTCCCTGTGCCTCCTTCTCTGTTGTTGTTTTAAAGCTCTTATCACATGTTTCTTCTAAAATATATTTTAATCTTTACTTCATGCAAACCTTTTTATTTTTTAGAGAGCAGGGTGGGGGAATGGCAGAGGGAGAGGAAGAGAGAGAATCTCAAGCAGGCTCTATGCCCAGTTCAGGGCCTGGTGCGGGGCTCCATCTCAGGACCCTGAGATCGTGACCTGAGCTGAAGTCAAGAGTCAGACTCTTAACCGGCTGAGCCACCCAGGCTCCCCACGTGGTGGTTCTCCCACTAGGCGCTAAGCTCCATGAAGGCACAGTCTTATTCATGTTCATTGCACTCTCAACACTGAACATATGAACAGGGTTTCTGGACATAAGCTCAAAGCTCAGTAAATAGTTATTGAATAAGTAAATGTTTACCAGTATATCTTCACTACTCCTAGCTTTCTTTTTCTTTTTTTCTTTTTTTTTTTAATGGGGTTATATTCCTGGTATCAGGAGGATTTGAGACGTGAAAAATGCTCAAGAAATCAAGGCACAAGGGGTGCCTGGGTGGCTCAGTGGGTTAAAGCCTCTGCTTTAGGCTTGGGTCATGGTCTCAGGGTCCTGGGATCGAGCCCTGCATCGGGCTCTCTGCTCAGCAGAGAGCCTGCTTTCTCCTCTCTCTTTCTCTGCCTGCCTCTCTGCCTACTTGTGATCTCTCTCTCTGTCAAATTAATAAATAAAATCTTAAAAAAAAAAAAAGAAATCATTGGCAAATTGTTGAATCTGGTCCAACAGCCTCATTGCAGAAAGGGGGAAAGAACATGTGCTTGGCAAATAGATTTCAATAAATATTTTTCTGTGAGTAGGACAACAGTAGTGGGTTTGTGCCAGGACCAAGGAAAGGAGTTGGGGGCAGCTGTTCAAATTACTGGACCCTGTGCCTGGGAGGGGGTCCGGGTCCAACTCTCTTGCTTACCAGTATAAATCTGTCCTTGCAGGATGGGATGCTTGAAAATGTTTTCTTACCAGGCTCTAGTTATGCAAGGGAAGCACCAAATTAATTTTATATACAGCTTTGGGCAAATTATTCTCTGCCTTTCTCATCAATCAAACATGGGAGTAGAAGGAGTGGAGGTGTGGCCTGGAGGCCCCATCTGGTTAGATGATCATCAGTTTCACAGGGTAGCTAGGAGAAAGAAAATTCCCGAGAAATGATGGGAGAGAGGCTTGCTATTCCTGTTCTCCCCGGCAGATGGCAGGAAATGAAAGCTTGCGGATGGAGCAGGGGCAATCCGGTCGTCTCCTCTAGAATCCAGGGAGGTTGGGAGTGTGCCTGCCCAGTATGGCTTGCAGATTTCCTAATAATCTGACTAATGAGGCCGGCCAGGGAATTTGAGGACCAGATGCTTTGTGCCCAACAAATGAGGTAACATGGGAGGATGGTGGGATTTGAGGACCCCGGCCAAGATCACAGGCTCTGAGAAGCTCAGGCATGGAGGTAGCTCCTTTTCACTCACCATCTGGGTCTGAAAACCCCTTCTGCAAACTTCCTGCTGAAGGGAAGTTTCTGCAGCCCAAGCTTATACGCTGTTGCTGTACAAGCCACATGAAGAGGGGTTTACTCCAAAGGAAGCACTGCTTTATGGTGAACCCCATCCTGCATCCTTGTAGTTTCTGACATTTGAGCCAATATCAGAGCTCTTAGGAACAAGGTCACACTGATTCAACCGCACATAAGGGGCCACGCAGGAGAAATGTGAGTGAAGAAATGAGCCAGGGCTGAAGAAATCTCCAGTCAGAAGGGACTCAGAGAATGCTTCCCCTACCTAAAGGCTCTTCCAGTGCCCTGGGATCAGGCAGGATGTGAATCCAATGGGACCAGAGAGCTATGACTATTTGAAGATAAAAGTGTGATTTTTTGAATGCTTGTACCTTATTCTAGATTTCTAAGACACTGCTAGTGAAATTAAAAAAGACAATTGCATGTTGAATTTCATCTCTGGCTACTGGTTTTTGACCTCTGCCTGGGAGTAAGTCTCAGTTCTTATTTTTGATCTAATAAACAGCAGGGTTATTTTTATCTGCTTCAGGACAGAAACACTGGTGAAGAGGTAAGCAGCTGATGGTGTATGGTCAGTGGGAGCCATGGGACCTTGAGCACCTCCATTGCTTTTGCCACCAGCACCTCTGTGATCCTAGTGACTTGCTCCTCCTTGCTGTTGTCATTGGCATGGGAGGAGAGGACAGGATTCCCTGTACAGGGCTCTAACATGCTGTGAGAGAGCCAGGTGGGAACTGAGCAGGGATATCTGATCAAATCCCATAGGGCTTTATTTACATTTCACCTGGAGAAGGTTTAGTTTTCTGCTGGTGTGTAAACTGGTAGGGAGATGGTGAGGGTGGAGGCAGCCTTCGGAGGTATAGTAGGCCCACCATACTATGTGTCTGCAAGGGCTCCATTTACATTTTAGTCTCTGCAAATAGTGCCCCCTCGAGTTGTGCAGTGCACAGTCTAGTAGCCTGATGCTAGTCAAATATCATGGACATAGTCTCCCTAAGTAAGTGTCTCTTCAACAAATGTATTAACCCTCATTTCACAGAGGAAAATGCAAAAAAGCAGCTAGCCAGTGGGAAAAGGAAAAATAATGAATTCCCAAGATTGTTATGTGTGGTCATTTCCTTGCTTAGATTATTTTAATAGTCAGAGGCCAAGTATCCAATGGGCAGTGAGGACTAAAACTAGAAGTCTTTTGAGAAATCCTGTCTGGCTTGCTGTACCTGAGATAGTTTTCTCTTTCAATGCAGATTTAGAAGGATGGTTATACCTGAACTCCCATGGACATCTTCCGTCTTGAAATGTCTGCCTCCTGCCTATGGTAAACTGCTAGAAGTTAATTGCATCAGATTGCTGATGTTTAAGAAACACACTGATGGAAATATGTGCATGTGTCATCATTTGGTTCCTTGGCACTTCTGTGGCAGGAACAGAACTTAAAGCTACTTTGTAATCTGATTGAATCCTTACCACAGTCCCCCAGGGTGCCAATTTAGTCCACTTTACAGATGGAGAAATTGGGCCCAGAAAAAGGAGAGCTTGAAGTCACATACTAACCAGTGATAAAGAAACAGGGTCCATTGACATAGTACATGGTAGCTAGGTAGGGGGCTAGCGGAAGTAGGATGGTCTAAAGCTTATAGGGCATTGGTGTGTGGCAGGTATGTGGTATGGCCTGACAGGTCATAATATATGGGTTCTTGTTTGCCCTAATCTGTTGCTGGAAAAACTCCTGTGCAGGCTCTCTGACCGGAAGGGCTCCTCTTGGTTCCTAGAGCATGTTCACTATGTGTCAGGCATTCTGTTAGGCACCAGAGACATAGTGCCGAGCAAAAGTAGGCATGGTCTCCACCCATATGGAGTTCATAATTCAGTGGAAGAGATAAGTACCAAACAGCTACATCATGAATGTACAATTACAAATCAAAATGAATGTTCAGAAGAAGGGAAACTAAGCTTTAGTAGAGCATGACCTTTGCTAGCTCATACAGCATCCTTGGGCAGATTAGAAAAATGGCATCCCTCCTTTCTAGACATAGGAATTGGAATCCCTTCCTCTGGCTGATACAGTCCATGCCAAGGCAGGACTTAGAGAATAGTGCCTCACTGGCAAGGGGACCTGTGTAGGATACAGTCTGCATGGCCATACTTGACAGCTGTGCATGAGAACCTCACTACAGGACCTATCCCTCCACCTAGGTATCAGGGAAGATGCCTCAGCTGAGAATCAGAAAATGAGTGATTGGTTAACACTAAACAAATTTCCCTGGGAAGGCATTCCAGGAGAGAACAAGACATCTGAAGTCCTATGTGTATGTTTGAGCAAAAGGAGAAAAAACTAGGGTGGTTGGTGTTCAGAGAGCAAAGGAGAAAGTGGTGTGGAGATGAGGTTGGAAAGAAAAGCAGGTTCTCTGATCTCCAGGGGAGAAGACTTTGGGGGAAATATTTATAGACCAAGGTGTGCAACCAGTTTGTTCCCACAGATGGCACTCTCCCCAGTGGCATTTGCTGGTTGGAGCACAGCCTCTGAGTTAACAGATGTTGGTGACTTCGTATAGATGGTTGGCCAAGTAGTTCTTTATTCACGCCCTCATAAAGTGACAGAATTCACTCTGCAGGAGCATCTTGCACAATGCTCTTCTCTTGGAAGTGGGAAGCAAAGGCCTGGCTCTGGCCATTCTACTCAAAGATCTTACCTTTTGTGATGCACTTCCTTTCTGGAACCAAACCCTTGGAAATAATGCCGCCTTGCAGAAAACACCAATAACCACCTTTCAGCCTGCCAAGCTTCCAGGTCACAGCTAGTTATTATGTCAGCCAATCAGTATTTGCTCCCTCGGTTCTGTCTTCAGGTATAACCTGATCATTTCTATAGTGTCATGGTTGGAAGACTTACTGCCTACAGACCCAACAAGGCATTGTTGGTGGGAGAGGAAGTTAGGAGTTCTAGGACTTCATCACTATTTTACGTCTGCCTTGCCCACTGAGAGGGACGGTGTACTGAAACAAGTATCACAACACAAGGTTGCCTGGATGTCTTCTGTTTACCACCCGCTGTCCCTCCCTGGGTCGAGATCCAAGGGCCTACCTTGTGATGTCTTCGCTTCCTCCTGAACCGCAGCAGCTCTTTGTGCTGTCGAGACACGAAGTTGACAGCAGCGTACTCCAGGAGGGCTGAGAACACGAAGAGCAGGCACACCGCCATCCAAATGTCAATGGCTTTCACATAGGACACCTGGAGCGGGGGAGTGGAAGAGCGGAAGAGCGGAAGAGCGGAAGAGCGGAAGAGCGCAGGGGCAGGAGGGTAGGGGAGATGAAATAGTTCAATATTTCTGCTCCTTGGGAACTCCCCTGTCACCCACTGCTACTCACTCCTCGGCTGGGATATTCGGAAAGTGCAGAGGAAAAGGAGAACCATGCACCAAGAAGACTATACAAAACACTGGAGCAAATAAGAATATGGTACTTAGAAGAGTAGTAAGGAGAGGAGGCTGGTGTATCTAGCATCATCGTTGAGAGAAACAGCACGTTGTGCTTAGTCTAAGGGTGATAGGGAGTGGTGTACCTAACACTGAAAGTAAACAGAGGGTGTTAGCAAAAGTAGCAGAGTAAGATTTCAAAAACTCTCTTTGCTGTAAGAGCAATGAGGACAACAGCAAAAATGGTCAGAATAAACTTTCTCGGAAGCTCTGTTAACCAAAGGCTAACAGCAATCATGAAAGCATTTTACTTAAAAATTCAGCTGAATGCCAGTAAGAGCATCAAACTTTGTGGCATTAAAAATAAAAACGAGGGGCGCCTGGGTGGCTCAGTGGGTTAAGCCGCTGCCTTCGGCTCAGGTCA